TCCCAGTGCCCAGCCGAGCGGGGGAAGTAGTGGCAGCGGAGGGAGCAGCAGCAATAGTAACAGTGGCACAGGCGCAGGGGCTGGCAAGCAGAACGGTGCCACCAGTAAGTGGAGGCCAGTTTGGGGGACAGGGAAGGTGGGCAGTGACTGACAGCCTGTTCACACTTGCCCTCCTTCTCCCCAGGCTACAGTTCAGTTGTTGCAGACAGCCCTGCGGAGGTGGCTCTGAGCAGCAGTGGGGGCAGCAGTGCCAGCAGCCAAGCTCTGGGGCCCACGTCAGGCCCTCATAACCCAGCTCCCAGCACCTCGTGAGTAGTTCTGGAGTGGCAGGGTGTGGGCACAGGCTCTCCTGCCACCCTTGCTGCAGAGCTCCCAGTTCTGTCCCTGCTTCTTAGACCTGGGCCGTGTGTCCATTAGTTCCCAGCTTTGTCCTCTTTTACTGATGTTTGCACTCGAGGTTTCAGACTGCTGTCTCCCCATTTCTGTTCTTTGCTCTGAGGCAGCCTGACTTCCATGGATGTGGGGTCTTTTTCCTTTTCCAAGTAAAATGTCCTGGTCCTCCGTTTCTCCACCATGACGTCAGATTACTCCTGCTGTTTCCAAACACTTGCCCCCGACGTTACCAGCCCTAGTGAGATTGCACCATGTGCATCTGAGCAGGGTTACTTGTTCTGTGATAGGAACTTTATTCATTCTGAATCTGCCCCAGTGTCTGCTCTAGAACTACCCCGTCCCCCATCTTTTAAGCTGTTAGGGGATCCTAAAAACCTATATTCCTAACTCAGTACCTCTGCTGTATTGAAGAGGGTCCCAGAGATTGCTGTCTCTTCTGCCCGCCCCAGCTGTCTTGCCTTCAGCTGCCCCCTTGGAGCCCATTTTCTGTGCCCATCCTCCTTTAGAGACCTTAATCTGAGTCTCCTCCATTCTTTACCCAGGAAGGAATCCAGTACGGCAGCCCCAGCGGGGGCTGGGAATGTGGCTTCAGGCTCAGGGAACAACTCAGGGGGACCCAGCCTCTTGGTGCCACTGCCTGTGAATCCTCCCAGTTCTCCAACACCCAGCTTCAGTGAGGCCAAGGCAGCTGGCACCCTGCTCAATGGTCCTCCACAGTTCAGCACCACCCCGGAAATAAAGGTGAGCTCCGCAGATGTGTACCCTGACCCCATCCTGGGACAGGAAATCCAGTGTGTCTACTTTTCTAGGGAAGAAAAAGCATCGTTAGATGTTCTCCTGAGTGGGTGATAGGGCTTTAGCATGGTTTTTAGGGGAGAAGAAACCAAGTGACACCTTGTGGAAAGGCTCCTGTGAGGCTGTGGGTGGGGTGGGGGAAGACTAGGATGAAGGACTAGGCCTCATTGGCTGTGACTAGTACAGAACGAGTCCCTCCAAGAGAGCTGGGATGCAGGTCTGTGGGTGGGCTTTGGTAATGGAAGGGTTGTACAGAGTGGGTAGAAGAGCCAGCCCTAAGCTGCTTCACCAGGGAAAGCAGTGTGGGGGCTGCAGACCCAACCCACTGATGTTCCCAAGGAGACTGAGTGCCCAAGGGATGGCCGACTTCCTTAAGGCAACAGCAGAGCCTGCAATCCTGCCAGCCACCTCCCTCAAGATGCCATATTACTGTGGGCAGTCCAGTGGGCATTCCCCCAGCAAGTGGTCTCTTTATGGAAGTGTGTGCTATGGCCTGTCCACCGTGTTTTGTAGGGTATTCTTTCCTCTGGAATGTGTCATGGACCCTGAACAGAATTACACACTGGAGAGTCAGTGGACCATGTTCTGATGGTGACTTCAGATTTGCAGCTTCCTTACAGCCATGGTGTTTTAGCACAATATGGGTAGATCTTGCAAATAGGGAACTGACAACAGAAGAGTAGGCAGGGTGTACAGGTCCCATCAGTCTTTGCATTTTCATGTAGCCCAGTCTGTGCTCCAGGTCCTGAGGCTTGTCCCCTTTCTCTTTCCAGGCCCCTGAACCTCTGAGCTCTCTGAAATCCATGGCAGAACGGGCAGCTATCAGCTCTGGCATTGAGGACCCTGTGCCAACGTTACACCTAACAGAGCGAGGTGACAGTCATGGAATGGTGGGGAGGGCAAAAGCCAAGAAGGGGACTGATCCCATCCTCCTCATCGAGGGCCTGCCGCCCCATCCCTCCCTACAGACATCATCCTGAGCAGCACAGCAGCACCCCCCACCTCAGCCCAGCCACCCCTGCAGCTGTCAGAGGTGAACATACCATTGTCACTGGGCGTGTGTCCCCTGGGGCCGGTGTCCCTCACCAAGGAGCAGCTTTACCAGCAAGCCATGGAAGAGGCCGCCTGGCACCACATGCCCCACCCCTCTGACTCTGAGCGCATTCGGTGAGGGGCTGCAGAAAGGGGCTGGGGACCGGGACTCCACAGTCTGAGGGAGGAGCTGGTTCCTGGGTCCTGAGAGACTAGGTAGAGTACTCAAAGTGTTGAGGACTTGGCTTGGGGCTCCCTATAGCAGGTTGAAGTGTGCTTCTGAACACCTTCCTGAGGACAGGGCAGGAACCACAAGTCACCTGGCGCTAAATCCTCTCTGGTTTACAGGCAGTACCTCCCCCGGAACCCTTGCCCGACACCCCCCTACCACCACCAGATGCCACCCCCACACTCGGACACAGTGGAGTTCTACCAGCGCCTGTCAACTGAGACACTCTTCTTCATCTTCTACTATCTGGAGGTACAGCAGGGCCCCCGGGGCAGCCTCGGGCCCCCCAGCTCCGCCGCCACCGCTGCCATCCCCCCTCGGGCTGGAGGGGCGAGGTGGGTGTCCCACTGCGGCCACTGGGACCGCACCCCTCCCCATCCCAGGCCCCCTCAAATCAAACCTGTCCAGTCCCAAGGCATTCCAATTGCTCAGACTCAGGGAGAGGCTGCAGGGCCTAGGCCGTATCCACTCCACTGCCAAGAGCTCTCAGCTCCTGGTAAGCCCTTTAGTTTAGGATAGCCTCTGAAGTGCAGTAGGCACTCTGAAGGCCTCCCTAGAGACCTCTGATTGCAGCGAGTCAGCCCCTCCCCATCTCCCTTGAGTTCTCTACATAGTCTCCTCTCAGCTTTCATTATGCATTAGTTTCTTCTTTCTCGGGGCTTTTCTGAAAGCATTCTCACCTCACCTCCTGTTTCACTTTCTTCTGACCATGGTATGTCTTGTGCCCCCAGCACTGTCTCCAAGTGGACTCTCCACCCCAGCTGGTCTGTTGTGGGGGCCCGGTCCAGCCCTGATGCCCTGCCCTGTTCCCCTGCTCCCTACCCCATTTGGATACCCCCTGATCTTCCTCTGCATTTTCTTTCCCAGGGAACCAAGGCACAGTATTTGGCAGCCAAGGCCCTAAAGAAGCAGTCCTGGCGATTCCACACCAAGTACATGATGTGGTTCCAGAGGCACGAGGAGCCCAAGACCATCACAGATGAGTTTGAGCAGGTGAGGGCCCCGCCCACCCTGGTCCCACTGGGGTATGGCTAGTGTCCCCAAGCCCAGTCCTACTGGCCTTTGACCTTCAAGCACAGTCCTGTAGACTGACCAAACTGGCCCCCCACACTGTTCACCTGGCCTGGGATGCTATCACCCCTCTCCATTTATCCATGTCTTAGTGCTTTAGGTCTGAGCCATTGTTACTTCTTCCAAAGAGAGACTTTCCTAGAGCTGCTAACTGCCTCCACCATGCAGCCCTGGGTACTTTAGTTGGGAGTGTGGGGTTTTCCAGTTGGCATCTCCCAAACCTGACCTCAGTGGCCCCTTCTTCATTTCCTGGCAACCAGCAGAGCAGGGAGGGACTTGAGCGTACTTTGGAAGGAAGTCTGTTTAGGCAGCCAATTGGAAACTCCACTCTCCCTGATAGGGGTTTAAGCCTAGCTCTTGCTGGATGATACTGGGCAAATCGATAGAACGTCTCTTGGTTTGATCTCTATCTGTACACACGGGAGTTCGCAGCACCCATCTCATGCAGTTGTTACAAGGATTAAATGAGTGAATAACATGTAAGCACTAATGGTGCCTGCTATACAGTGAGCGTCACGGATTTCTGTTCTTTGTGGAGTTGCTGTCAGTTGGTGTGTTCCACAGTGGCTTTCCCTGTACACATTTTCCCACCTATACTTCCAGGTGCCAAGCTGGCCCTCATGGTCCCATCCTCACAGAACTCTGTCCATCCCCTCCACTCTTCCAGACGCTTGACCCAGCTTCTTTCTTCCTGTATCCTCTCCAACTTTGACTTCAGGCTTCCTGTCTCACCTTGGTTTGGTCCTCGACATTAATGCATCTCAGTGCACTGACGTCACTCAGAATGTCAGTTACAATGAAGTGTGTGTCCCTGCAGAGCACTTGGATATAGATGCGGCATCTGTTGCATTGTAGGCCACCTGTCGGTCAACATTCCTCACTGTCTGAACATAAGCCTAGGCCTCATGACTGTTCATACTTAGCTGAGGTCCTCCAGAGTAGAGAAAGCCTGCAGACCCACCTGGGGCTTGGCTCTCTGAGTCTCCCTTCTCCACTCTAAAGTCACCAAGGTTGGAGTGTGACAGTGTGTAAGCATGTAGGACAGATCAGCCTGGCACCTCCATGTCCCTGACAACTGCCTCTGTCCGTCTGCCTGGCCCAGATCAGCCTCCCTCCTCGTCCACTCACTGACCGCCTTCTTCCCCGGCCAGGGCACCTACATCTACTTTGACTACGAGAAGTGGGGCCAGCGGAAGAAGGAAGGCTTCACCTTTGAGTACCGCTACCTGGAGGACCGGGACCTCCAGTGACACCGGCCCCCTCTACCTGACCCCTCCCCCGCATGCTGATCCCCCTGCCCAGGTGAGGGCCCTGCCCTGGAAGACTGGGGGAGGCCCAAGGCCATGAGGCACCCTCCCCCCCAGGAAGCAGGGAAAGGGCAGGGAGGCTTTCTCCTCCTCTCTGCCCTACCCTGGGGGCCTGGGGGCGAGGGCTGCCCCTTCCTCCCCTCCCCAGTGAGGGACATTTTTTGGTAAACCTATTTTCATTTTGGAAAATATTTATGAATAAATAGTTTTATATGACGGCTGGCAGCTGCAGCCTCTCCTATCCCCCCAGGAGTCAGTGGGCAGGAGTGGGGTTCTGCTGGCGGGGGCGCCGGGCCAGCTGGGGGTTGAACTGGGAGTTGTACCGCCGCCTCCTTTCATCTGTCTCTTCCACTTCTGCCTGGCCTTGCTGGGATGCTCGGCCTTGTACCCGGGCCAGCAGGGCCTCTGCTCGAGCCCTCTCAGCTGCTTCCCGCTGAAGACGCTCAGTGCGGAGCTGTTGTAGGGAAGGTGGCCTGCACGGGGGAGAGCAAAAGAGCAGAAAGCCTGAGAGAAGCCGCCTGGTTCTGGGTCCTATGAGCAAGTCCTTGGACTCGCTTCAGGGGCTGTGCCTCCTCCTCATGGTTCTAAGATCAGATGCCCCTCCAGATCAAGAAAACACACTGAGCAGTATCCTGGGCCCCCTGTACCATTTTCAAATAAAAAGAGGTTACCCTTGAGTACCCCTTCTACAGTTGATAGAATCTAGCATCTTACAGACAGAAACCTGCTTTTATTCTCTAATCCCAGTGATTTTAAAGATCTGTTTCTCTGTGTAGCCCTGGCTTGTAGACCGGGCTGGCCTCGAACTCAGAGGTCTACCTGTCTGCTTCCCAAGTGCTGGGATTAAAGGCACCAGGTGGTAGGTTGTATCTATATATCTGTACTGAATTAGAAATGAAAACTGAGCTGGGTGTGGTGGCACACACCTTTGATCCTAGCAGTTGGGAGGCAGAGACCAACCAGAGCTACATAGTGAGACCCTGTCTCAAAGAAAGAAAACTGAGGGCTGGAGAGAGAGTTCAGTGCTTAAGCGCACTGGCTCCTCAGAAGACCAGCGTTTGATCCCCAGCACTGTATATAGTGACACACAGTTTCAGGGGATCCAATGCCTTCCCGTCTCTAAGGGCACCAGCACATATGTGGTGCACAGACAAACATGGCAAGACACTCTTGCCCATTAAAAAAGAAAAAACTGAGAAGTCCTGCACATAAACATACCCTTAGCCATATGGCATGGCTAGAGGAGATACTGTTCTTAAAATCCTAAAATAAGTCTAATGTCTCCACAGAAGTCTCTAGACCATATACTAAGAACCATTTCACCCCGACTCTCCCGCTGAGCCTTTTTGTGATACCCCGGGCTCTTACTCTCTGGGCCGTTGTTTCTGAGGCCGCTCCTCTCTAGAAGGACGGCTTTCACTGCTGTGCCTTTTCTTTCCCAGGTGCTTCTGCATCTCCCTCAAGGGGTCCAACCGGTTCTTGATCTTCTCGTCTGGGCTTGGGCCTGGAGGGCAGCCCCTTTCCCCTGGGGGGAGCTGGTACCAAGGAGGTTGAGTTTGGGCCTCTGCTGCACTCTGGCCCAAGTACGTCAGGATGCCTAGTGCTTTCTCTTGCCTCTCCTGTGGGAACAAGAAAACAGAATAGTCTTTTCAGTCCCTCTGGGAGTCCTAGATGTAGCGGTAGGGAAGCCCAGGGTCTGAGTCCCCGGAGAGGCAGGGGCTGGTAGGTAGTCATTCAAGAAGGGAAATCACAGACCAGGGAGCAGCTATGCAAAGTGCCAAGGGCTAATCTGCAGTAATGGGGGGATGGGAAGAAGGATGGGAAAAGCTCCATGAGTTCAATATTGGGCACCTTTGGGAGAAGTCTAAGGAAAAACCTGCAGAAAAGCAAAGCAGAGGAGTGATTTCCGTGGGACACAGCACCTTCAGAGTTGGATAGGAGACACAGTACAGTTCACAGCTTGAGAAACACGAGTGCCATCTGGAGGTGCATGCCTATGATCCCAGCACTCAGGAGGCCAAGGCAGGGGGGTTGTGAGCTGGAGGGCACCCTGGTCTGTGTAGTTGAGGTCTCAACCTCAAAATAGCTTAAGACTAAAAAGTCTCATAAAATAAGGTTAACATCAGACACAGCATTAGTGTTCTACGGCAGTAACCAAATTGTTAGGTGCTACCTTTCAGTCACATTCAAAATTTTCTGTGTGCTCATCTGTCACCATATCCTAATAGTGGTTAGTCACAGCTAATTGTGTGTGTCATCCCCCCCCCCATACACCCCCCCAATTCCACCAACAGAGGAGGCCAGCTTACCTTCTCCTGTCGCTTCTCTTCCTCATGTTCTTTATTGCCTCTGGGCACTCCTTTCCCTTCTAGCAACTCCTTAAACAGGTCCACAGGCCCAGAACTTGGAGCTCCTGCATCTGCTGCTTCCAGCTCAGGCAGTGAGTTGTGGTGCCTGGCTTTCTTCCGTAGGAATTCTGTGCGAGCCTGTGAAGTTATAGGCAGGACATTCAGAACCTAGACGTGCTGGGGGTTACAAGAAAGGGCCATGGGCTGGCTAGTGGTGGGGTACGCCTCAAATCCCAGCATTCAGGAGGCAGAGGAAGGAGGATCTCTGTGAGAGTCCAGCCTGGTCTATGGAGAGTTCCAGGTCAGTCAGGGCTACACAGAGAAACCCTATCTCAAAAAAACCTTAAAAGGGGGGCGGGGGCATGGAAGTCTGGGAGACAGAAAAGACAGACACCATTTGTAATTTAGAGTGCAGAGTGGATGTTTTTATTTAAACAGTAAACTGGACTGTCAGGAATAGCTAGGAGATCCCCAGCCTAAAACAAGGCTTCCCAGCCTGGAGTAATGTAAGAAAAACAGCCACCAAAAACCACTCAGCTCTAGGGTGGAGGTGGCTTGTTCAGCCATAGAGCCTCTGCGTAGTGTACACTCAGCACACGCATGCGCAACCCCCCAAATATAGCTTATTAGGCAGCCAAACACTGATTTCTGGACAAAGGATCTGAATCCCAGGTGTGGCTCCAGGTCACTATTCTCCATGTTCTCAATTAGGATTGTCTCCAGTTCACAATTCTCCCCTCTGCAGCCTCAGGATCTGGGATTACAAACTTGACCAAATCCAGCTACTTTAGGTGCCCCCCCCCCCCAAAAAAAAAAAAACAGTTTCTCTGTGTAGCTTTGGAGCCTGTCCTGGAACTCACTCTAGACCAGACTAGCCTGGAACTCACAGAGATCTGCCTGCCTCTGCCTCCAGAGTGCTGGGATTAAAGGCGTGAGCCAACACCGCTCGACCACTTTTGAATTTTGTTTTGTTTTTTTGTTTTTCGAGACAGGGTTTCCCTGTGGCTTTGCACCTTTCCTGGAACTCACTTGGTAGTCCAGGCTGGCCTCGAACTCACTGAGATCCGCCTGGCTCTGCCTTCCGAGTGCTGGGATTAAAGGCGTGCGCCACCACCGCCCGGCCCACTTTTGAAATTTTAAAAATCCACACTACTTCATGATCAGATTGGCTAAGGGACTTGGGTGTAAACCAAAATGATCGAGTAATTATTAAAGCCTGTGCATGTGTGTGTGGTCTTCAATACCAGTATTCAGGAGGCAGAGGCAGGCGGATCTCAGAGCTCGAGACCAGCCTGGTTTACATAGCCAGTTCCAAGATAGCCAAAGCTACAAAGACCCTGTTTCAAAGAAAGCCTCTGGGTGTGTTTGGGAGAGCAATGATGGAGAACGAACGTGTCCAGCGGAGTGGACTCCAGCCTGTCCGCCCTTTACGCTTCTCGTTGAAGCCGCGGCACTCCGTGCCCACCTCTAAGGACTCAAAGTTGTTCTAAGAGGGATTTCTCAAGTCTCGTGCTCCGTAGGAGGGGAGGATACATAAGATGGTTAACTTGTGCGAACCATCTATAAAATAATCACAATATCTGTACAACTCTTCTTATGTGTTAGTCTCTGGTCACTTCAACTACACCAATGGGGGAATCTAGGAAGGTTTCGTGAAAGTTAGCAAAGGATTTGCAGAGAAACATCGACAAACACCGACCCGCGCCTGACACCGAGTGACGGGCAGGCCCACTGTGCTTCCGGGCCAGCCCCAGGCTTACCTCTTGCTGAGCGAGCAGCACCCTCCGCTCACGCTCCTTCTCCTCCTCCCGGGCCCGGGCCTCATCGCGCCGCACGCGGGCGACATTGTCCTTGTTTCGGACGTGCCAGCTCTTCTTGGGCAAGATATTCATGGCTCCGTAGCCGACCTCCGACTATCAGGCCCACTCTCCAACACTTCCGATTGGCGCGAGGATGTCACCGCCCCATGGTCCCACCCTTGCCTGTGCATTGGTTCTGGGCCAATTGTCACGCCTCCTCATGGCCTTGTTTAGAGGTGATTGGCTAAGAGGCCCTCCATCACAGCAAATCCTAAACGCTTGCTGCCTGAGTTGCTCCAACCCGGACGCTGCTGTATGCGGCTGATGATGCCCTGCCTATCTAGCCCTTCGCGCAGACACAACCAGGCCCCTCCCCAAACCCTGTCCAGGGCTTCAGAACCGGGTTTCAAAATGCATAGCGGCCTCGGCTGTTGTTTATTAATACGGCTCAACTGAGACAATGGCACTTGGTGGCAGAGGGCGTGGGATTCGATTCTAGAGATGATCGCTTGATATATGAAGTCACTGAGGCGTAGAATGGGTCTGAGGGGCTGAAGGTGGGACAGCATTTCCAGCCAGACTGGTCAGATAGCTCCATTACCTGAGCTCAGAGCCACAGCTCTCTGGGCTAGGAAGACTTTATTCTGCGCTTCCTAAAGGCAAAGAGGGGCGGAAGTGAGACACCTTCTCTTCACCCATGTCCTTCTTCCCATGGTCTCAGGGAGCCCTTCCCGGGGAACCAGCCTGGCTCACCGTCTCTATCTGGCGTTTGAGCTCAGAAATGAGGCGTCCGTAAGAGTTAGCCAGGGCTACTGTATACGCCATCAGGATGCTAAGGAAGACAGGAATGAAAGTCACTCCAGGAACCTCAAAACCTCTTGAATCTTCCATTCTCTTCTGCCTCAGACCAAGGAATCCATACCTCTGCCCTCCTCCTTCAGACCGGGAGTCTAGGCTGCAGACCTCCTTTAGAACCAGGGTTCCAAACCCAGACTTCTTTTCTTAGACCCAGGAGTCCAGACCCCAACCTCCTGCTCCAGGTCTAGGTAGGCCCTAGTTCCCTTCCATTCCACATAGGTATCCAGCCTGCAGCCCTCCTCTCTAATACACAGGTGCCCAGCCCCCACCTCCTTCTTTTTTCAAACACTAAATCACACATATCCAAGCTCTGACCCTGAAGTCTGGAATCACTCACCTAGAAAGGATCAGAAGGGGTATAGCAAAAGCCTGAGTCCCCAGAAAGTAGAGAAAGTTCTGAGCAGTTTGAGGGAGACTTTCAATGGACTCGGGGATCTGGACCCAAATGGCCGACTTCCCTTGGAATGGGCCACACAGCTTAGAAGGTGGGATCCTGCAAGCAGAGACACATTGGGTTCAATCGAGCAGGGCCAGAGTGAGGACCCTGGATGAACGCAAGGGGAAACGGAACCTCTCATACTTACAGGAAGATACTGTAGAGCACAGGGACAGCAGAGATTGCCAGACCCACAAGAAGCACCAACGGGAAAAAGAAATTTGCTATGGAGGCTCGGAAAGTGCCAGAGGCCGGTGAGTAGATGGAGAAGAGTGTTATCTGGCAGGGAGGGGTGAGGAAATGGAGATTTGAGACCCAAGAGTCAATCCTTTGTTTTTCCTTTTTTCCCATCTTGGAGTTTTGGCCTCCTTTAAGGCAGGACCTAGATATCTGAGGCACCTGTTGTTCAGTCCTAGAAGGCAGAGTGTCTCAGATTCCTCCTTCTCTGGACCCAGGACTCCGACTTCCAGCGCGCCCTCCCTCCCTCCCTCCCTCCCTCCCTCCCTCCCTCCCTCCCTCCCTCTTGGCATTCTCCTTTCCCTAGCCCAGGAGTGCAGTCCTGTCAGCTCAGACCCCAGGATCGTCCTCGGCCTCACCTTCTTCAGACAGAAAAGTATCAGGAGCTTGGCAGTGTTGATCAAAGGCAGTAGAGGGCAGAAAAAACTTCCCACCCAGACCACGGTCTGAGCGTAGATGAGCCCCAGCACCTCGTCGGGCACTTGGAACTCCAGAGTCCCGGCCAGACGACCCAGTGCTCCAGGACAGAGGCCGCAGAGTATCCTGAAGGGCAAGGCAGGGCAGTCATAGACCTGCACTTTGGTCTCCCTAACCTTACCATCCAGCCCATTATTTTGTAAAGGATTGTGAAGAGCTGTATTTTTAAGACCTGTGATCTGTGTTCCAGAACCTGATTTCTTAGTTACCTGGTCTAAAATGCTAAGCGAGTAGGAGTGAGGTCAGAGAGAAGTAACCCCTCCCCCCCCCAAAAAAAAAGACTGGTCATCAGAGCCCTAGGGAGGCTGGATCACCACCAGTTCCAGGCCAGCCTAAGCTACAGTCAGACAGTGTCTGAGAAAAATCAAAAAGGAGGAGAACGAGACGGCTCAGTGGTTAAGGGCCTGTACTGGGCTAGGCAAGGTGGCGCATGCTTTTATTCCTGGCACTTTCAAGGTAGAGGCAGGTAGATCTCTGTGAGTTCAAGGCCAGTCTGGTATACATACAGAGTTCCAGGACAGCCAGGGCTGTGTTGAGACCCGGGGGTGAGGGGAAGAGTCTTCTTCCAGAGGACCAGAGTTCAATTCCTACCACCCATATCAAGTAGCTCACAACCACTTGTAACTCCAGCTCCAAGGGTTGACACTTTTTTCTGGTTTCCATGGGCACCTGAACTCACATGCACATACCCACCCCCTACCCCACCACCCCACACACATAATTAAAATAAATCGTTAAAATAGACACACACACACACACACACACACACACATACACACACACACACACACACACACACACACATATATATATATATATATATATATATATATATATATATATATATATGTATATAAAGAGGGGTCAGGAATGATGGCTCAGCAGTTAAAAGCATTTGCTGGGCAATCATGAGAACCAGAGTTAAGATCCCAGAACTCACATAACAAGTCAGGCATCTTGGCATGTCTGTAACCCCAGCACTGAGAGGACCAGAGACAGGAAAATTGTTGGGGCTAGCCAATTTCCTGACTAGCTAAGAAAATGTGAGTCCTAGGTTCAAGGAGAGAGACCCTGCCTCACTCAAAGGAATAGGCAGAGAGTGATAGAGGAAGACATACAAAGGCCTCTCTGATCAACCCCCACACAAGCACATAGCATATGCTCACACAGTCACACATGCACAGCAATAAATAAACACGATGAACAAAATAATGAAGAGGGCTGGGGTATCTACCTTGCTTATGTAAAGACCCCAGTTAAAAAGAAAAGAAGTGTGGCCTGGGCAGGCGTCTCCATGACGGGTAAGGTGACCTGCTGACATCCCACGCAACCTAAGTCAGAAGCTCATTTTTTAGTAAAAGGGGGACCTGTAGGGCCCTGGCCCCTGTTTTGGGTAACTGTTGCCTTGCTTGCTGACCTTGACCTTGATATCCTCCCTATGCTAATTCCCTGCTGGGTTCCACCCTCCTGAATGCTTAAGGGAAGTTCCTTGTCTGTGTATCCTGCATAATGGGTGTTAACAGCTTAGATGCAAGATTGTAAAACATCGGTATCGAACTTCTGCCCTCTGGAGTTCTCCCATTGTGCTGTAAGCCTGTATGTAAGACCTCTTCCCTCCTTCAATAAACAGCATTTGGCATTTAAAAAAGAAAAAAGAAAAAGAAAATAATAAAGGAAAGTCTGTAAAGAGAGAGTAAAGTAATACAGAAAGAATAAGCCATGTAGGAGGGATGGGAACTACAACACAGGGCTTTTGGACCCTATACAGTGCTTTAGTAACTTTAAAATGTTTAAATGCTAATGAAACCAATAGCTACAGAGAGACATTGGATTGTGGGGAAAACTGCTGAATTAAACCAGCCTATGTATTTTAAGGATGTCTTAACTTCAGAATGGAAGTCAGGAAATGTGTTACATTGCGGGGGGGGGGGGGGGGGGGGGGGGGGGGGAGGCTATGCCTTTGTTTCCACAGGAAATGAAAATCTATGGATTCCTTCAGAATTAGTAAAGATCAGATTTGACCAGGAAAAAAAGAAAAGAAAAGAAAATGGGTAGAACAAAGGTGAGAACTGAGCTGGGCGGCGGTGGCGCACGCCTTTAATCCCAGCACTCGGGAGGCAGAGGCAGGCGGATCTCTGTGAGTTTGAGGCCAGCCTGGTCTACAGAGTGAGTTCCAGGAAAGGCGCAAAGCTACACAGAGAAACCCTGTCTCCAAAAACAAACAAACAAACAAACAAAAGGTGAGAACTGTCCCATGGTGGGTGGGGCCTGCTCCAATAGGGGCGGGGCTACAAGGAGGGTCAGAACACTTACTTTCTAGGAAACTGGACCAACAGCATGACCAACAGGCCCATCAGCAGATCAAAGAGCACAAGTTTGTACATCTCCTGGCCCAGTCGAGTCTCCCAGCACTGAAGAAGTGAAAAATTGGTAGACCAGACCCTCCGACGTGGAGGCGCAGTTCCAAGGCTCCAAATTGCCAGCAAGCATCAGAAACCCCACTCATGAATTGTGTGGGAGGGGGCTTCAGTGTTTGTAAGCATTCATGCTATGTTCAGCTTCCTCCCAAACCAAGGGAGGATGCACCCAGTTCCAACTATCCCTGCCCTTCCTCTAAGCCCAAGAATACCCCACACAGGCACCCACAGCATTCTCACCGGAGTATCTCTGTAATTGTAGCCACAGGCCTTGCATCCTTCTGCCTCCTTGTTTCCCCCACATGTGATCTGATTCCACAGAGAGAACAGGAGAAACACCAGGGAGGCCAGACGCAAAACCACAGTCCTGCAAGATGAAGGTGGAGAAAAGGACTCACACTGATGTAGTGCAGACCATGCTGTTCCCTCCTGGATACAGGCTCATGATCCCGCCTCCACCCCTTTTCTACAGAAGAAGGAACTGAGTTTCAGTGTCAGGATCTCATATGCATGGAACTCCCCTGTCTCATTTGTTTACATATATATATTTTGGTTTTTCGAGACAGGGTTTCTCTGTGTAGTTTTGCACCTTTCCTGGATCTCGCTCTGTAGACCAGGCTGGCCTCGAACTCACAGAGATCCGCCTGCCTCTGCCTCCCGAGTGCTGGGATTAAAGGCGTGCACCACCACCGCCCGGCTACATATATATTTTTATATGTGTGTTCCTGTATGTGTGTGCACTACAAGCATGCTAGTGCCTGCAGAGGCCAGAAGAAGGAGTCTGATCCCCTGGACCTGTATATTCAGGCAGTTCTGAATGTGGTTGCTGGGAACCAACTTCCGGTCCTCTCCAGCTCCTTTGTAAAAAAAAAAAAAATTGTGTGTGTGTGTGTGTGTGTGTGTGTGTGTGTGTGTGTGTGCGCGCGCGCTCGCGCGCGCATGCCATAATGCTTGCATGGAGGTCAGAGGACAACTTTGTGCAGTCGGTTCTATCCTTCCACCTTTAAATTTCCTTCTGGGGATAAACTCAGATCGCCAGACTTGCGCAGCAAACGCCTTTATCCTCTGAGCCATCTCACTGGCCCAGACTTCTCTTATTTGTAGAACCAGAGACCCTTTCTCTTCCTGTCCCTTTGTCCCTTCTCCCAGAGATCCCATCCCATCCCGTGAGTCCAGAACCGAATCAGGATGAAGACGATCTGGCGGCTGCGAGTGTAGCCCTCCAGCGAGGCAATGAACTTGAACACAGGGGGCAGCACGAAGTTGAACACGGAGATGAAAATGGATGGAAGATAATCCACCAGAAGTTTGAGGAGGGGGGTTTGTTGGACAAGGGGTGTCTCCTGAGAGGGAGTGTGGAACAAGGAAAGAAGCAAGCTGAAAATCCGTCCTTAGCCTCTTTTTACCATAAAGGACCTTAAAATCCCAGGCCCAACACCTCCCCTTTCCCAAGCCTAAGATCCCGGGAATTCTAGACTTCAGTCCTCTCCCACAGGGATTTACCCTTGGAAATGTGAGTTCTAGGACCCGAGGACCCTCCTTCTCCAAGACCCTCTGCACCTGCAGCGTCACGGTGCACTCTGTGGCCCAGTAGATGCCGTAGAAGGCCGCCCCCAGGAGCGCAAGGATCAGCAGGTTGAGCAGAGCCCTTATCGACCACACCTTGGCTCGCTGGCCCAGCGTCTGCTCCGCAGCACGGCGCCTGACCACGGCTTCCTCCAGCTCCACCTGAGGCCAAGAGGGACGACTGCTGCTGGGGATCCATCCCTCCAGGCCTGGCTCTTCTTCAGATTGAACCACTATAGCCCTCTCCTTGTTCCATACCCTCCAGGCTGTCCGTGGGACCACTTAGTTCTTGGGGCACTGACCCTCCGCAGCCTGGACTTGCACCCAAGATCCACCTAGCCTAACCCAGAACCCCAAACCCCGCCCCTTTGAGGCTCCGTCTTCTGTCCAAGGCCAATCCTTCCCCTGTCCAACCTAGAGTCCCAAGATCCATTCCCCTGAGACTCCGAGCCACTTCACGTTTTTTTCAAGCCACGCCCCTATTTTACTTTGGACCAGTCTTGGGCTCCGCCCCTGTCCTAAGCGAATCCCTCTCGCCTCCTCCCCGCTCCCAGTCCCCTCCATGCCAGGCATTCTTGTGTAGCTTTTCCCTTACTTCTCTCTCCCTGTCTCTTAGCAATGCCTTGCTCCTTATCTCAACCGGGGTCTTGTGTGGTCCACAACTAGTTGTAGCCCTGCTTCCCCGAGCGCACCTGCAGTTCGTACAAAATGACGCGCTGGCGCAGCCGCACGTGCACTTCTCCGCAGAGGCCAAAATTCCAAGCTGAGAACACCCGGTGGCTGTAACTGGTCAGAACCTCTGACTCGGCCAACAGCGTCTCCTTCAACCCGGACACCGAACTGAGAGAAGAAACCAATGGAACAGGCCGTGTAAGAGTGTCTGTCGGTGGAGGCACCCTACTTGCGGAACACGAACTCGAAGACCTGTGATCAGGTGCCATCTGCTGGAGTCAGAGAGATACACAAGCAATCTTTGGAACCAAAGGCTAAGAGAGAGATCTGGCAAGCAGACACTCTAAAGCGACAGAAGGACCTAGGAGAGACTGGCAGATCTCCAGAGGAAGGAGAGGGAGACCTGAGAAGACGACAGAGCAAGAGAAGAGAGCATAAAAAAAGACATTCTAGAAAGGAGGCAAGCTGGCCCGGTGGCATACGCTTCTAATATCAACACAAAGGAAGCTGAGTCAGGAGGATTTCTGCAAGCTCAAGGGCCAGGCCTGCTACATACTGAGTTCCAGACCAGCCAGAGGTATGCAGGGTAACAAGGTAACTGTCTCAACCTGCCCAGTAAGACAAGTGTTTCGGGGAGGGGGCAAAGACTAGAGAGACTGAGTAAGAAGAAAGGATGAGAACAAAAAGAAGAGAAAAACAGAACTGGCCAAAGGGACCATGTCTCCCTTCACCAGCCCCTCCTTCCTCCCCTGAACAACTAGGGAGTGTTCCCACATGATCTCTGTATTTGAACCTGTGGAAATATCCTTTTCATGTAACTCAGAAGGCGTTCCTATATTTAAAGAAAACTACCATAGAGCTTCTTTCAGCTTCCAAGATTTGAGCATCTTCCTGGAAAACCAACCAGGCAGGTGTGTGTGTGTGTGTGTGTGTGTGTGTGTGTGTGTTGTATGTATGAGTGTTTAAGTGCACCTTGGAATCAGTGTGTGTGGGAGGTGTATGCATGAGTGTATAGGTGCATTAGGGAATGTGTGTGTGTATGCATGAATGTATAGGTAAACAAAGTAGTGTGTGTGTGTGTGTGTGTGTGTGTGTGTGTGTGTGTGTGTGTATGTGTGTGTTTGTATGTATGAGCGTATGGGTACACTTGCGAATATGTGTGTGCTTGGAGGCCAGAAGTGTATACCAGGTGTCTACCACTCCGCATTTTGTTTTTTTTCAGATGGAGTCTCTCACTGAACCTGGAACTCACTGTTGAGGATAGACTGGATGGCCAGTGAGCCCCTGGCATCCTTTTGTCTCTGCTGCCCTCCTCCACTCCATCTAGGGCTACAGATGTGTGTTGCTGACTCACTCAGCTCTTCTGTGGGTTTTTGGGGATCCAAACCTAAGTCTTTTAGCTTCTGCTGCAAGCGCTTTATCCACCAAGCCATCTCCTCAGCCTTTGTATTTTGTTTGTTTGTTTTTTTTTTTCTTCAAGACAATGTTTCCCTGTGCAGTCCTGGCTGTCCTGGAACTTGATATGTAGACCAGGCTGGTCTCGAACTCACAGAGCTCTGCCTGCCTTCTGCCTCCAGAGTGCTGGGATTAAAGGCATGTGCTACCACTTCCAGGCTGTTTTGTTTGTTTTTAGAGACAAGGTCTCACTATGAGGGTAAGGCTGGCCTCAGACCCTACTGCCTTCACCTCCCCAGTGCAGACCCGGGCTCCCCCATCCATTTACTCATGCTTTTGTTTGTTTGTTTGTTGGTTTTTCGAGACAGGGTTTCTCTGTGTAGTTTTGGTGCCTGTCCTGGATCTCACTCTGTAGACCAGGCTGGTCTCGAACCCACAGAGATCCGCCTGGCTCTGCCTCCCGAGTGCTGGGATCAAAGGCGTGCGCCACCACTGCCACCGGCCTCATTTACTCATGTTTAATTATATTTGTTCATAATTAAACAGTCCGTCTTACAGCTGTGTCCACCTTCAGGACTACAAGCTGGAACAATACCTGGCAATCAGGAGACACTAATGCTTTTTTTTTTTTTTTTTTTTTTTTATAGCTTTCTTAGTTTGAGAGCATGCCCCCTCCTCCAGTTTTATTTTTTTTTTTTATTTTTTATTTTTTATTTTTTTTGGTTTTTCGAGACAGGGTTTCTCTGTGTAGCTTAGGGCCTTTTCCTGGAACTCACTTGGTAGCCCAGGCTGGCCTCGAACTCACAGAGATCCGCCTGGCTCTGCCTCCCGAGTGCTGGGATTAAAGGCGTGCGCCACCACCGCCCGGCCCTCCTCCAGTTTTACATTCATAGCCCTCACCCCTAGCCCCGTTTAAAATACTTGGTTTCCCTCCTTGAGGATCTCCCAGTCTCATCTGAATGACAGGTTCAAATACCTATCTCAATGTTAGGGATTTAGCTCAGTGGCAGAGCTCATGCCTAGCAAGTATGAAACTCTGGGTTCCCTCGCCATCTGGGAGGGGATGAGGGAGGCAGAACCACACATGTATCTCCAGTGCTTACCCTTTCCAGCACCCACATACCCAAATAAATACCTGCCCAGCACTTCCTTTGTACATCTAAAAGTTACCTCAGAGCCTAGGGGTGTGGGAGCAGTTCAGGGTAGAGCACTTGCCTAGCATACATGAAGTCCCTAGATTCCATCCCTAGCAACACACACACACACACACACACACACACACACACACACACACACACACACACACACACAGGTATATATCTGTAATCCTCAGGAGACTAAGGCAGGAAGATTCCTATGAGTTCAAGACCTGTCCAGGCTACATAACAAATTTGAGGCCAGCCTGAATGGGATTATAAGCAGGAGCCATCCCTGAAGGCTTAGTGTTCTAATTCTTTTTCCTCTTTTTGTATTTATTTATTCCATGTGCATGTTTGTTTATGTGATGGCATCAGTGTGCCATGGCCCAATGTGTGTGGTGGTCAGAGGACAACCTGTGGAGGAGTTGGCTTCCTCTCTGTACTATGCAGGTTCTGGGAAAGGAAGTCAGGTTGTCAGAAAGTGTCCCCACCCACAACGAAGTCTTGCCAGCTTAGTGTTCCATTTTTGATATCCTTGGGGAATTTGAGATGGAGCCTGGAGCTCAAGGTAACCTTCCTGCCTCATCTTCCCAAGCACTGGGATTATTATAATTATGCATCTTCAAAACAGGCTTTCATGTGCTTATTTAAAGATTCACCTTAGGTACCACTAGATAAGCTGAGGGTAGGGACTTCCCACTTTGTGCTCTCTTCTTTCTGTCTGTCTGTCTTTCCTTTATAGAGACAGGATCTCTCTATGTAGCCCTGGCTGTCCTGGAACTCAATCTGTAGACCACACTGGCCTCGGAGATCCGCTGCCTCTGCCTCTCTAGTGCTGGGATTAACAAGCTGAGATAGACAGGATCTTCTGTGTAGCTCAGGGTGGCCTTCACCTTACTCTATAGCCCAGGCTGACCTTGAACTCAAAATAATCATACTGCCTCAGTCTCCCAAGTGACGACACTACTAGCTGGGGCCTCCACACCTGGCTTTAAAATAGATTTCAATGTTGAAGAAATGACTCCTGGGGGAGGGGGCTTCTGTACCACCTCCAGTTTCTCCTTCCTGTCAGAGTCAGGATGTGGGTGTCACTAACCGGTGTAGGATGAACAGCAAGTAGATGAGACCGATGACAAAGACGGAGCACAGGTAGGGGATGGCCAGGTTCGATCGGGGTGGGTAGAACCCATAGAACAGAGGGGACCATTCTAGGTAACCCTGGGGAGGAAGAGGCAGAGTAAGGGTCACTGTGGGGCTCGGCGGAGGCAAGGATCAGGGAGCCGGGTGATCTGGACCACAGGTCACTGAGGAAACCAGAGACCATGGCACCTACCTCTCCAGAGAGCAAGTTGAAGAGCTGAGTGGGGAAGCTGACCAGGCCCTGAGTGTGGGGGGTATAGGAACCACAGGGTGAGGAGATGTTAGGGCTAGGGGGACCTGGAGGAGCGCCTTCCAACCAGGTGGGGACCAGCTTCATGCAGACTTCAACCACAGACGCCACCAGGTTGAGAAAGAGCAGGAAGCGCAGCAGGGAGAAGTAGGACTCAGTGCCTGCTCCAAACTGGCCTGCAGGGGGCAGCAGAGAAGCCTCAGGTCCCTCACCAGTATAGTTCAGAGGGAGTCCAACCAAACCCCAGCCCTCCTCCCCCAGACGCAAGAGTCTAGAACACAGCTCTGCCTCCCCGTCACACCCCCCTGGGGTCCAGGCACCAGCCGCCTCCCTCAGGCTCAGGGGTGCAGGCCATAGCCCTCTTCTCTACCCCATCCTCTGTCAGTCTGGCCCACCAGACTCCAGCTTTCCTTCCTCAGACCCCAGGAGTCCAGGTCTCAGCCCTCTTCCTTTAAAGCCAACCACACCCCCAATCTTCTTCAGCGTCCACGCCCAGGGCTGTATAGTCTGAAATCCTTCTTTCATTTTTCCCTTGGTCCTGGAAAGCTGTCGGGTCCAGTAGGCAGCCTTCGATTCAGAGCCAGAGGCCACCTGCTCTCTAGCCTGGATCTTCCTGGAAAGAAAGGAGAGTCAGAGTCAGAAAATGAAGGGCTTGGAAACTGGGAACCACCCAAAGATAGAAACAGCTCGATACAATGAGGTGGATATTGTGGTATGCTGTATCCACAAAGTGGAATACTCTCTAGCAATTAAAAAGGAAACAACTCTACTTTATGTGTAGGAAGCCGGGCACAAAATGACGATAGAGCCACGTATGGTGGTGTAGACTTGTAATCGCACCAGTGGTCAGGCTGAGGCAGGGGGACTGAGAGTCCCAGGACAGGCTGGTCAGATTAGTGACATGCTTTTGAAAGAAAATGAAGGAGTCGGGTGTGGCACACCACTCATGCTTGTAGTCCCCTCGACTGGGAGAATGGGGTAGAAGGACTAGTGCAAATTCAAGGCCCGCTTGGGATAAACAGTGATTTCAGCTCAGTCTGGGTTGTAGAGTTGAGACCGTGTCTCAACAAAACAAAACAAAAAAATGGCTGTTGCGATGGCTCAGCAAGGAAGGGCCATTGTGACCAACTCAAAACTTGTGTCTGGTCCATGACACCCCCAGAACTTCCAAGCTGCCCTTTGAGCTCCACAGAAAGCCGTAAGCACATGCACGCATGCTATCAGGGGCACACACACCAATATGTAAAAGAGAAAGAACCAAACAAATCACCAAGAGGGAAAGAAGGGGAAGGAACAGAAATGAAAAATGATTGTCTTCCTGATTCTCAGCCTGTGGCGGCGGCACACGCCTTTAATCCCAGCACTCGGGAGGCAGAGGCAGTGGATCTCTGTGAGTTCGAGACCAGCCTGGTCTATAGAGTGAGTTCCAGGACAGCACCAACGCTACACAGAGAAACCCTGTCTTGAAAAACAACACCACCACCAAAGTCTTCCTGATTCTCTAGCACCAAGTTCAGAACAAGCCCAGGCAAACCTTACCCTGGCTCTTGGCAAGGCAATAATGAACATAACCTATCGAAATCAGGAAGAGTTACTCGGAGGTATCAGAGAAGAGGGGCTCACCTGTGTTCCCGCCTTGCCTGCATAGGCCAGGGAAGTTCCCGGGGAGGGTGAGATTCCATTTGGGCAGTTTCTGCAAAGGCCTGAAGACCCTTTCCTCCTCCATCCTCATCCTCATCCTCATCCAGTGTCCCCCAAGGGAGCACACCAGGGCCACGGTATCGAAGAGTAGCAGCACTTGGGAGGTCCTTCAGCACAGAGGCCAGTGATGGGCCTGGCCATGGAAAAGGAAGGATTGGAAAACAGTGGGTCTAGGCTACAATCCTTTTCTCTCAGACCCAGAATCCAGGCTTCAGCTCTGGACCCTCAGACCCAGGGACAGAGGCCTCAGCCCACCTCCCTCAGACCCAGTCCTCTTCCCTGAGGTCCAGGAGCTCAAGGCCCAGCCCTCCTCCTTCAGACTGAGGATCCCAGGGCCAAGCCTTCTCCCTCAGATACAGGAGCTCAGGGCCCAGCCTCCTCCCTTGGACTGAGGAGTCAAAGCCCCAGACCTCCTCCCTCAGACTGAGGAGCCCAGGGCCCAGCCTCCTCCCTCAGACCCTCAGACAGGGGTCCAAGTGTCAGCCCTTAGACCTAGTCCTCTTCTCTCATGCCTAGGAGCCCAGGCCTCAGTCCACCTCCCTCAGACCCAGGAGTCTAGACTCAGGTTCTCCTCCCTTAGGGCTACAGATCCCATCATTTCCCCCTCAAATCGGGGATTCAAGGCCTTAGCTCTTATTCCTCCGACCCAGAAGCCCAGGCCCGGGCCTTCCTCACACTGTTTTAAAACCCCAGGCTCAAACATCCACACTCCTAGACTCCCTTCCTAAAGTTTCTAGGCGTGAACCCCCTAGGTCCCTCCCACCCTAAGTGTGAGCCTGAACTTCAACTTCCTGTTCCCTTACTGCGGAGCTTGGAGCCCTGGCCCCTCCCGTGCCTGGTATTAGGGATCCAACCCGACTCTCTCCTCCAACACTGTAACTAGGTCTCGGCACCGTTCCTAGTTCCTAGTTCCTAGGGGTTCTGAGTTTCCATCTCAGGAAAGCCAGGAAATGAAATCCCCCTTTGCTCACAGGTTCAGGAACCCAG